TCTTACCCTAAGTCTACACATGTCCAGCTCCCTTGCCTGTCCCCCAAACTGCCCCTGGGCCTTTGTCTACGTGGTCCCCTCTTCCCAGATGTCCTTTCCTATCTTCTGTGCCTTGTATTTCAAGTTGTTGCTGATGTGTCCTCACCTTCTAAAAAGTCTCCATGAACATCTCCCACACACTGCCTTCACACTCCCTCCTGCAGCAATGATAACAGCCAACATTCAGAGAGCACACCATGTGTATGTGTATTGACTTATTCAATCCTCATAGCAACCCTAGGAAGGTTTGTTATCACCTCATTTAACAGATGAGTAAACTGAGGCACAGAGAGGTTACATGACTTGGTCAAAGTCACATAGTCAGTAATCTGCAGAGCCGGTAAGTGAAGTCAGGCAGAGTGCCCATGCAGCCCTCCATCAGTGCTCAGCACACCGGGCTGGATTGCCCTGACACCTGTACTTGCCAAGCTTCAAGACCTGTCTGTAAGTTCAAAGGGGTTTGCCTTGTTTCTGCCCCTAGAACCTGAGCAGGTGGGGAGCATGCACAGGGTGCTCTGCTGGGACCAGAAGCCAGCCCTCACCTCTATCTAGCAAGGATTTAAAGTAAGAGGCTGGTCTCCTCAGAGGACTGTGGTGGAGGAAAGGGTAGGGCCAGCTGACCCAGGACTGCTGAGGAAAAGGATGGGTTTGTGGGGGTGCAGCCCTTCCAAAGACAAGGACCCTAAGAGATCTTCTGCATACCTACTGTGTGCTAGGCCCTAGGGTTAACTGGCCAGGAAGTCAGGGGCCAGGAGATGACTCTGCCCCCCAGGCAGCTGCAAAGTCAAAGGGAGGACAGGAGCCTAAGAGAGGGGACAGGCAAAGAGCTGTAGGATGGTGCTCAGGAGGCATGGCTCCCAATCGGAGGGCAGATAGGGTCTCCATGAAGGAACTGGCATTTGACTATTGGTGGGAATGCAAATTGGTGCCACTACTATGGAAAACAGTATGAAGGTTCCTCAAAAAAATTAAAAATGGAATTGCCTTATGACCCAGAGATTCCACTTCTGGCAATATATTAAAAAAAAACCTAAAACACTAATTTGAAAGAATATATGCACCCCTGTGTTCACTGTAGCATTATTTACAATAGCCAAGATATGGAAGCAACCCAAGTGCCACTCAATAGATGAGTGGATAAAAAAGCTGTGGTACATATATACAATGGAATAACTACTCAGCCATAAAAAAAAAAAGGAAATCTTATCTTTTGTGACAGCATGGATGGACCTAGAGGGTCTTATGCTAAGTGAAATAAGGAAGACATAGAAAGATTTCACTTACATGTGAAAAAAGAATAAAATATCTAAAGAATGAAATAAAACAACAAAATAGAAACAGACTCATAGATACAGAGAACAGGCTGACAGTTGTCAGAGGCGAAGGGCACTGGGGTCTGGGTGAAACAGGTAAAGGGATTAAGAAGTACAAATTGATAGTAAAAGAATGATCACAGAGATATAGATTACAGCATAGGGAATATAGTCGATAATATCGTAATAACTATGTGTGGGGCGAGGTGGGTACTTGAAACATTTTGTGAAGTACATGATTTTCTAACCACTATGCTATACATCTGAAACTAATAGAATAATATTAAATGTGAACTGTAATTGAAAAATTTTTAAGAAATGGAAGTGACATTTGGGCCAGCCTAGAAAGATGAGGAGGATGCTGGCAGATGGAGTTGGGAAAGGGAGCTCCAGAGAGCTGGAACAGCTTGAGCAAAGGCCTGGAAGTGGAATGTGTGGGGAGTGTTGGGGAGGAGTCACTGGTTTTGGCTGGAGCACAAGGCAAGTAGGGAAGCAGCAGTGGACTGGGGGAGGTTGCTGGAAGCCCTTGGAAGGGGAACTGCTCGCAGGCAAGGAGGAGGCAATCCGGACAATCTCAGCTTGTCAGGCAGTCCCTCTTAGCAATTAGCTATGTGACTGTGGCCTAGTTCCTGACCTTGGTTCCCTCAATTGCAGAAAATAATGTGCCTTCTCAGACTTTTGAGAAGACTGAATGAGACAGTGGTTTGCAGCCCCTGGAACCCAGGGATGGGGGATGGACACATCTGGGGGCACACCTGAGGAGACAGGGGTGGCTCCCTGAAAAACATGCTCCACCAGGTTGCTACAGGCGAGTAGCGTCAGGCAAGTCCCTCACATCTCCATTTCCTCTTCTATGAAATGGAGAAAAAAACACCTTTCTTATAAGGTAATATTTTCAGCCCAGTGCTGGCATACCATCAAACCACATAGGTGAGTCTTTAGGTTGACCAGGAGCTGAGGGTGACTTGGGGGAGTCACGGCCAGTACTTGGGGGGAAAATCATTTACCCTAGACCCCCACCCCTCCATGGGTGCCATCCACCTCATCTGTCACCTCATTGAGACCCAGAGACCCACTCTCAACCTCCTCATTGGACTGCCTCCAGCACCTCCCCTCCCACCTGGTGCCAGAGGAAGGCCCTAAATGCAAGCCCACAGTCTCTCAGCCCTCTGGGTCTCCTGCACCTCAACTCTGATCACTAGGCTGACATTCCCTGTTTGCTTATCACCTCCCCCACCAGCCCTGTGGGCAGCGACAATGTCTGATTCATCTCATCCATTCCAGAGTTTGGGGGCCTGGCACAGGAGTCCTGACCACACGCAGTAGAGCTGGCAGTGGGAATGGAAAAAGAGGGCCATCCACCCCTCCTACCCAGACACCTGTTTCTCTGTTGACATATCCGTGACAATGCTAGACTCAGGGTGGAACTGAGATTAGGCCTCAGTGAAGGAAGTTTTCTGCTCCCCTTTTCCCCAAAGCTCAGGAATCTCTCCAGTCTTACCCATTGCTTTGAAAACAATATATCCTGCCTCTGGGGTATCAGGGCCTGTCTTTGGGGTCACCACTATACTCACCCTGACAAGGCCTATCCTGTGTTCCACTCCAGATAACTATGCTGGGAGCCTCACATTCACTTTGCCCCAATCACAGCAGAGGTGGCTCAGGTGGGAAGTGCATTCCTGCATTCCTAACTGGCCTTCAGAATCACAGGAAGGGGTCAGCCTTGTGGCATGGATGCATTCCCAAGACAAGGAGAAGTAGTTTGTGGGTTACCTCAGGTTTTTCTATTATCTACTCCATTGCCTCCACTCCATTAGCCCAGCTAATCTAGTATCAATGGAGGTAAACCCAGGTCTAGCTGAGCATGCAGGTGAAGGTGTCAGCTGGCATATGGCAATGAGATGTGCCACCCAATTGCCTCCTCCTGTCACAGTGCCTGAAATCCTTTCTTAGTGCTCTTTGCTTTAAGCCACCCTTACCTGACCCTGCTCTGAAACCTCCATCCTGGGTCTAGCTCAGGCCTGGCACTCACAGGGCTCAGAAATGGGAGCCGAATCAGAGATTGGCCTGAGTGGGCATCAGATCTGGGCTTAATTCTGAGAATGGCAGTGCCAGGGCAAAAGGCTGTACCACGCCTCAGCCTCCACCCACCCAGACAAGCTCCCCACTGTCTCTGCCTGCTACTCTCAAGCACAGAGTTAAGGTAATGCTGGCAAGACACATGATTCTTATTTTAATTAATTAAAGAAAAATCTAATTACTGCATTAAACTTCTCATTACTCCACTTGAATATCCATTAAGAAAATTTAATTATCAGAGGACTGGGTTTCCCAGCCTCTTCTATTAGCTCCTGATAAGATGGGGAGGGGAGGGGAGAGAAAAGCAGGTAGCAAGCAGAACAATGCCATTCACTACCTGTGGAGGACAGGGTGGCCACTGTCTTGGGGCCACCATGATCAGGCTTTGGTGTCTCCCTGGGGAAAGATTTGACCCTGGGCTTGGGGGAGAGCCCCCAGCTCAGCTGCCCCTAGGAAGGGGAAGGCCTAGCATTTGGCTATAGTTGGTACTGAATGCTTCATTTACAACCACTCTTGGTTATTTATACCTACCTTTTTCTAAAAGAGTTTGATGTTGCTGAGAACAGCACAAGCCAAAAAGTAAGAGAAGAAAATGGAACAAGAAAAAAAATGAGCGAGCAGACGATAAAGCCAGAGGCAAGATTATTGAGCAACTGCATGTCAGAGCATCCTCAGTACTTATCAGAAATTGGCCACAAGCCAGCTGAGTTTCCTAGCCGCCAAGGCAAAGAAAGCAGTTCACTTTGGCACTGATGCAATAACCAATAGAGTATTCACGAGAAAATGAGCACTGAGCTTTGGTCTTTCCATCTGTAAAAAGGGTGGAGCTAAAGGATAGACTAAAGGAGATAATCACTGGCTGAAGCAGTCAGCAGAAGCTTCCTGGAGGAGAATCCTAAACTGGGCATTGAAATAGAGCATGAGGCGGACTCTATCTATAACGATTATTTATTTGCCTCCCCCAGTTGGAGGCATCTCCTCCCTGCCAGTAGGACCATAAACTTCCTTTAGGAAACACCTTCCCCTCATTCCTGGTCATACAGTTGGGGGAGGATGGCCCCCAGTCCATAGTGTTTCCAAGCCCTGTGGACCCAGTTAAAGGATTAAGATGATCCAAATCTTTCCAGTAGGGCACAAGAGATCAACTCCAGGTTTAAATCTGGGGTTTGGGTTGAGACAAAATCAGGAAAGCAGATTTTGTCTCTGCCCCAACCCCCAGATTTAAACCTGGAAACAAGTTGCCTCAGAAATTGCTGGCAGACATCTTGTGCCATATCTTGTTAAATGTCACTAGGAGCAGAGCCATCACCAAGGAAGAAGAGCAGAGGAATACAGAGACCAGATGCTGGTCGCATTGTCTGAGCCACTGGATCAAACCCCGCCTGAAGTCCTGCCTCTGGACACTGGTTACATGAGCTGACCATTTTATTGAAATAGTTTTTTTATTATTTGCAACCAAGGGGATCCTGACAGACAGTGTTCATAAAGATATCCTTCTTGTTCCAGGGACCAAGAAGGCTCAGGTATCCCAAGGAACCAGGGAGTGGGCAGAATACAGATGCCACCTACCATGACTGCTACTGTGCCCTACTGAGTCCTGAAGCTTGAGGAGTCCCCTTGACCCAGGCTGGGATGAGAAGGAAGCTTGGGAGGTGGTCCAGGGGCTGAACAGGGCCAGAGTGCTGGAATACTGGTGGGAGGCTGTGTGGCCCCACAGGCTCAGGGAAGACAGAACATGACCTTTGGATCCCTAGAAAACAGAAGCAAGAGTGAACAGTATGATTCATTTGGAGGAAAGAGGGGCGTTTGGGGACGGGGTAGGGCAGATGGTGGCCACACCTTGACAAAGGAGAGACCATAGTCAGTCAAGTTTGTCTTCATTTCCTCACACCTCACATCTTATTTTCCTATTTACTGCCCCTTCCCCCAGGCCCCTCCCCCGGAGAATCTCCAGGCTGCAGAAGAGCATTGGCAAACGTCTGCCCTCTAAAGAGAAGAGAAGGTTGGGGGCAGGTACAGCTGGAATCCATGTGCTATTGCCAGAGTGTGTGTGTTTGGTGGCGGGGAAGGGGTGGAAAAGCTTCACCCTCAAGTGCTATAGACTCATTTCTCACAGTTCCTCTCTCAGTGAGTGGGCAGAACTAGGCCAAGGGCCTGAGGCAGCCAGAGTGGGGCAAGGTGAGTGAGGCAGCCATCTTCTTTGATCTCTAGTCTAGACTTCTAAAAGAATCCTAGAGAGGATAATGTTTAACCCAAGGAAACAGATAGTGGTGTTTCAGGCATGAGCAGAGAGCCATGTAGCACCTCCAAGGACCTTCCCATCTGAGGAAACAGGAGACCACCTACTCTGCCTTCAGGCCATCTTCCTTGGGCACCATCCCTGGGTGGTGGCCACCCCTAGCAGGGCCCAACCTCTTCCCCAGTTTCTCTCTGAGGCCAAGCTGGAAACTTTGCAGAGAGAAACAGTGTGTAGCTTTTTTAGACTCAGGATACTTCCAGAGTCCTGGCATTTGAAAAGTCACTTAGCCTCTTTAGGTCCTTAGAGTCCTCTGAGCTAAGGGCTGTTCACCTTTTTCTTGGCCATATGAAGTATGATGACAGATCACGAATCACAACACAGTAAGGCTGACTGGCTTTCCAGAAATGTCTCTAGACAGGCCCAGTCAAATAGAGCGTTCTGCAATGATGGAATGTTCTATGCCTGTGCTGCTCAATGTGGTAGCCACTAGCTACAACTGGATATTAAAATGTGGATAGCGCCCAGCTGGGTGTGGCTCAGCAGTTGAGCTTCGACCTAGGATCCAGGCGATTGGGGTTCAATTCCTGGTCAGGGCACATGCCCGGGTTTGCAGGCTCGGTCCCCAGTCAGGGGCGTGCAGGAGGCGGCCAATCAATGACTCTCTCATCATTGATGTTTCTATCTATCTCTCTCCCCCTCCTTTCCTCTCTCTGAAATCAATAAAGATATATTTAAAAACTAAATAAAATGTAGATAGCGTGACCAAAAAAATTATTTTATTTTATTAATTTACTTTTAAATCAAAATAGCCACATGTGACTAGTGGCTACCATAATGGATAGCACAGCTCTGGAACAACTCTTGCCCAGTCCCTGGCCACAATATGTGGAGAAAACAGATCTAGAGAGGGGAAGGAATTTGCCCAAGGTCACGTAGCAAGTACGTGGTAAAGACGAACCTAGAACCTAGTTATTCTACCTCCTAGCCCCAACTCTCCACAGCACCAACTCTGTACTTCCCATAGTGGCCTCATGTTCTCCCATCATGCACAGCACTGTCACACTAGATGCCCTGCTCTTCCCATCATGCTCAGCACTGTCACACTAGATGCCCTGCTCTTCCCATCATGCTCAGCACTGTCACACTAGATGCCCTGCTCTTCTCATCATGCTCAGCACTGTCACACTAGATGCCCTGCTCTTCCCATCATGCTCAGCACTGTCACACTAGATGCCCTGCTCTTCTCATCATGCACAGCACTACCATGCCAGATGCTCTACTTTTCCCATCATGCTTAGCACTGTCACGCTGAGGGTCTTGCTGCCCCTCTACCCGTGCTGCTGCTTCTGTGACAGTGTATCCAACTACCTCTGAAGGGACCTCCTTCTCCCAGCCACTGCTGCTGGCCTTTCCCTTATCCACCCAGCAAAGCACCCGCAATGAATGCCCCTGAGGTTGCCTACAGAAATCATCCATTTGAGGGGAAGTGCTCCTGAGGCACAGAGCTGTTCACTGCAGGGTTATTTATAATAGCAAGATGCTGGAAGCTGCCTGAACATTCCACAATAGAGATGACAAAGTGCATCATGACAGTTCTGCTTGATGGCATGTTACACAGCCATTAAAAATGATAAAGGTGGAGATAGGTAAGCAACATGTAGCAATGTTTATCTAACAATATTGAGGGAGAAAACTGAGAAAACAGATGAGGGTGGGGGCTGCGTTGCCATGGTGTACAGGGCTCCATGCTCATTGAGCCCACTCACATCCATTACCACTGGATGCACTGCAGTATCATGGGGTTCAGATTATATAATCATTCTACAGATGGAGGAGCTGAGGCTCAGGGAAGCCACATACCTACCCCTGGTTACATGGGTAGTAAGGACAGAGCTGGGGCTTGAACTCTTGCTTGCTAACTCTAAGGACAGATCTCACAGCAGCCTCTTTGTACCAGAATGAGGGCATTATGGATGCCCTGTCCTTTCTACCCATTTACTCATCTTATTTAACAAATACATACTAAGTGTCAGGTACCTTTCTAAGTGCTTTATGTTATCTCATAATCTACACAACAGAAAGAGGGTGCAATTATTAGATCCTTATTTTTTTGGTAACTTGCCTGAGGTCCAGGGCCACTTGTACTTCCCACATGTTGTGCAAGGTTCTAGAGTCGTTCTCACAGGAAAAGATCAATGGTTAGGGAGGGAACAGTTGTTGCCTTGGGGTGGTGGAAACACAGATGTGTGTGTTTCCCCTTTTTAATTTCATGGAAATTCTTTTTGTAGCAATTGAAAGAAAAAAGTTCAAAAAATAAAATAAATGTACTGAAGATTTTTTTAAAAACCAAGCACACACAAAAATAAAAACATTAAATTAAAGCTACAGATGCATCCAACAGGCCACTTACTGCAATGGTAATCTACCTCCCAGCAGCAAATCACATGTCTCCAGGCTTTTCTATCAATTTCCTGCCCCCCTCCCCCACTACCCCCTGCCTGGGTGAGGTCCTCATCTCAGAGGACAGGGTGGGGTAGTCCTGTGTGGAGGTGGACTTCAATAAACAGCTCCTGCCTCCTTCAGCACAACGCAATAAGACAGTTGTCTGTGTACTCCTCCCACCGGCAAGGGCTAACCGCAAGAGGCCATGGCATCCAGGCCTCTGCCTCCAGTCCAGGCTGCTCCATTCCACAGGTGGAACAAATGAGGCCCAAAAAGATAAAAGACCTCACCAGAGGTCACACTGCCATTGAATAAGGAAAAGTGTGTGTACACATGCATATGTGTGCATATGACCACATGTGTGTGTCTCCCATGCATCCAGTGCTTCAGGCCCGGGCACCCCAAGCCTATCATTAAAAGGACAGGTGATGCCCAGCTTACACACACACACACACAGACACACACAGACACTGCATTATTAACTGCTACTATATCCACAATTGTATGATGCTGTATTTCTCCTTTACATGTTTCTGTGTTATTTTTCATTGTCATCAAATACTTATTGAGCAATATATGCTAGGTGTATTACGGGTAATGAAGATTCAGTGGAGTACAAGACAGACAAATGTGGTGTTCTCATGGGGAGAGAGATACAGATAATAAGCAAATGAATAACAAAGATAATTCCAGACAGTGATAAGTACAATTAAAGCTGTAAAAAAGAAGGAACTCTTACCCTCAGCGACAGCATGGATGGACATGGAGATTATTATGCTAAGCAAAATAAGCCAGTCAGAGCAAGCCAAATACCATATGATCTCACTTATATGTGGAATCTAATGAACAAAATAACTGATAATCAAAATAGAACCAGAGGCATGGATACAAGGAACAGACTGACAGATGTCAGAGAAGAGTGGGATGGGGGGGACTGAATAAAGGGAGGTGAAGGAATGCATAGCCCATAGACAGACAATAGTGTGGTGAGGGCCAAGGGAGGGGGGTTGGGGGCTGGGTGGAGGTGGACAAATGGGGTACATCTGCAATAGTGCCAACAATAAAAAATTTAAATAAATTTTAAAAATCAATTCTTACAAGAAAAAAAAATCATTAAACCTTGTAATGTGACACACTGAGTACTTAGGCAGGGCTAGGGGGTTACTCCAGCTGGGGGATCAGAGAAGGCCTTTCTGTAGAGGTCACATTTGAAATGATACCTATACGGTAAGAAATTTCATCATGCCTAGAGCGGAAGAAGTGGGTAAAGAGCAGAGGTAGGAAAGAGCTGGTGTTTCTGAGGTGGGCAGAGATGGGGGCAACTGTGGCAAATGAAGCTGCAGAGAGAGGTTGGGCCCTGAGGGCAAAGGGCTTTGGATTTCATCCCAAGTGCAATGAAAAGACACTAGAGGGTTTTAACATGGACCTGCTATGATTTCTTCATTGTGAAGTTCCTTGGGGCTGCTGAGTAGAGCCTGGATTGAAAGGGAGCTGGGGACCAGTGGGTTGGCTATTGCAGTTGCTCAAGGACAAGGAGATGAGGCTTGGCCAGGGTGAGGGAGGGACTAGCCAGATTCAGCATGTAAGTTGTAGCAGAAGTAACAGCAGTTGGCTGATGTGCTGGATGTGAGGGTGGGGTAAGTTAAAGACATTGAGGGTGACTCCTAGATTTTCTACCGCAGATATGCACTGCTTTTACACCAGACCCCCCAAATCAAACACAACTACTAAATATTATATAACTACTAAAATATCACAGCAGATGAGCCACCCATGAAGACTGTCACTCCCCCCTCAAAGTCTCTCATCCCCTGGGGGGCATCTTTCTTCCCCCAAGCCCATGCTCTGTTCCCTGCCCCAGTGTGTGGTTTTAGGGAGGAGCAAAGATTGAGCACCAAACTCTAGCTGGCAGGAAACAAGATTGTCCAAAAGACAGAGCAGGGCTGGACAGGAAGGCAGCAGAAGGGCTGGCACAGAGCATGGCCCAGCATATGCTGGCTGAACCTGTGAGAAATTATAGGAGGAAGCATGGGGGCTGGGGTGAGGGGTAGCATCTGGGAAAAGCATGA